AAAAACTGATGATGTAGTATGAAACAGTTATATATAAAAACTGATGATGTAGTATGAAACAGTTATATATAAAAACTGATGATGTAGTATGAAACAGTTATATATAAAAACTGATGATGTAGTATGAAAGTGACAAAACAACTTATTGCAGCAGCTCCTACTTTTCAGTTAATGTATTCCTTCAGAGCTAATTATTACTGATTTACACCAATAGATGGCATCAATATGTTATACTGCCATTAGTTGACGATCCAGTGTAAAGGCGGAGACTATGTAGAGTAGTATCCCTTTTGCATTGATGAGCTCTCACGTGACATGCATGTAACTAATTTTTCCAATTAGAAGTCCTATGTTGTTGCAAGTTTTTTCAACAATTGGTCAAGCTAATATTTAGGAATGCATACAAGCAAATCATAATATTTACGGGTTAAGTCTAAATGTTTTCTAACCTATTAAACCTACATATAAAGTACATTACCTTGGTGTTTTGTGATACATATCTTTTATTACAAGCCAATCATAAATGGTTTCTAACCTATTAAACCTACATATAAAGTACATTACCTTGGTGTTTTGTGACACATATCTTTTGTTACAAGCCAATCATAAATGGTTTCTAACCTATTAAACCGTAGCATATGGAAGAAGAATGGCCAATACTTTAACCTCATGAGTTGTATGCCAGAAGACCACACATTTTCATTCTTCAACTGCCACACATTCATTGAACCAATGAACTCACCTGGTCATGACATCATCATGACGTTTTACAATGCTGCTGGTATTGTCATGATTTCCTACCAAAAGTTCCTCTTTCAGCTGTGTGATGCTCTGGATTCCTTCCTGTTCAAAAGCTTGCAATCCAGCATCAAATGTTTCCTATTTATTTTGGATGGAGGGAAAAATAAACTATGCTGTTCATCAGGTATCTTACGTGTAAATATTCAACAAAGTACATTTAGTTAGATAGTCTAAAAAATGTATTTCTCTCTACAAATAAAAATACAAGTTTTTTTTTTTACTGTCTATCGATGATTAAAATTATGTTGTTATTTGATTTTTTTTTTCATGTATGGGTACATCCAAGTTTACAAGTACAGTTATTAAACATGTATGCCATAGTATCACACACTACAATTTCAGTAATTCCAAGTAATGTTTCTTTTGGATATTCAGACAAAGCTACACAATGGCTATCTTCACTATCCATCCCAAAATGTGAACTGAGATATTGGATGGTAGGTAGCTAGTCAACAGCACCTACTGCTATTGCTTGGGTTACTCTAATCAAAAAGTGCATGCATTACTTCAAAGTACTGGGTGCAATTTTTATTTTGTGGCAACAGGACATGGAACCAGGATTCACAGATCTACACTCTGGTATACTTCGTCAAAATTGGCCCTCTGTTTTGTGTATTTACACATTAATTGTTTAATGTTTGCCCAAAATCTAGATACAAGAAAATAACTCAAACTTTATATGCAAATACACGTGAAAAAATATAACAAACCTGTTTCGTAAGCAACGTCTGAATCGAAGACAAATCTCTACCATAATCTTCGGATCGAAGATGAACTTCTTTGTCCGCTACAGTCACGTGAGAAACACACACAATATAGATGTAAACAGAAAAAGGTACTCCAGCAATATAAAAAAATTACTTCTGAAAACAACCAAACTTTTTTTCTTTTAAAGAGTCACGGTCATTTGCTACATACTGTTCTAGTTACCATACTGGATGCAGAGTTCAAACTCATTTTTTAAAATTCAACCCAAAAGACAAAAAATAATAATAATAATGATAGAATGAACCATTTCCAATAGCAACATACAACTATTACAGGTTTAAAGCTGTTGCAAAGCTTTACAGTATACGAGGCATTTTTATACATATTTGACTGTTGTATAATAACATTTAAATGTGTCATCATTTACAAATTGCCTCATAAATGAAATTACAGTGTGCCAATTCCTGGCCTATGTTTACACTTTAAATTACTTATAGCTCTTTAGTTAGCATAAACTTACATGTGCAACCTGAACACCTGTTTTAAATTTCAGGATTAGTAATTAAATTACCTACTACAATATATTATGTAGTCACGTACATATCTGGAATATGTGGGTATTTAAACTGCAGGTGTTTATTGAGTATTCTACAAGTTCATTAGTAGAGAAATCTATATAAAATCATAAATAATATTCAACGTTCAACTGGTACACAATTAAAAACATTTTATTTAGGCCTATCTGAGGATGACGTTGTAACGTCGAAACATG